TCTGAAAACATTTTAAAAAGCATTTTAAAATTTGATACGAAACATTATTAGTAACATTACAGTAAAAATGTATGAACACATGTCCTCTGAAAAATGTTTGACATATGAAATGGATCATAAGCGTTTCGAATGCTATGCGTCTTAGGTGTTTATCCTTATTTATATTTTTTGTAAATTTTTCAATCAAATTAAGACTTTTCGCAAGAAATAAGTAGATTGGGGCAAGCATTAATCAGTAATAAATGACTGTACAACTTAGTCTGTAAACACCCTATTAATTTTCAAACGGTTGCATATAATTATAAAAATGATGTCCAGGTATAGTAAAGTGGTTACGACCTGGTTTATAAAAAAATGATATTACTATCTCTCTCTTGAAAATAATACGAGGTATGAAAGGTGAAATTGTGATTCTTTTTTAAAAATAAAACGATAGATCTTAAACGTTTAAAGTTTATTTCTTTATTCTTTACATATTTCTTAATTCTTTATTCTTTATATTTCTTATTTCTATATTTCTTATTTCTTTAATCTTCATATATCTTTATTCTTACGTTTAAAGTTTATTTCCTTATTCTTTATATATTTCTTATTTCTATATTTCTTATTTCTTTATTCTTTATATATCTTCCTCCAAAATCGTCTGATTGTTTTTTTTTTTTTTTCGAGATATCATTTTTCATGGTTCATATTAATTCCTAGGGTATGCTTAGAAAGTTCGCCCATATTTTTATGCATATTTGTTCCTGTTACTTAATAAAGAAAATGAATTTTTTTTCTAGAACCTTCCCTTATACAAGAGCAATGTCTAAATTTGATTCACTACGCAGCGCAGTTACATAAAGCAAGCTTAATCACGCTCCTACAACGTGAATTTAAAGATGTGTTTTACTAGTTCAATGCCTTACTCGCGAATAAGATGCCTCTGAGTTAATGGCATACAGCCAAAGGCCAAAACCTCACCTTACTTTCGCCTTGAATTTGATGTACAAAAGCCGTAGTGTTTGGGTTGAAAATCGGATTGTTTGTAAATTTAACTCGAGGAAAACTTGTTTTCTTCGGAAAAGTAAACAAACTCTATTCGCGGATGCTGTGTCATTTGTAATCAGATGCGGTGAAAAAAAACTCTTTTTCTGGAAAATGAAATCGGAAAATAATTTGTTATCATTTAGTCATTCTAAATGTATTTTTATAAATCTAAGCAAATATTTTTGTTTTGGGAAAAAGTATAGGAGTTTCTTGTTTGAAGGAAACAGCGGAATAACTTTTTTTCAAAAGAAACGATTTTTGTTTAATTATATTTTACTCAGTATAATTTTCCCTTTTATTTCATATTTCATAACCGGCGCTGAGCAGATGACCCAATTTTGAGCTGACGACTATTAATGTTCAACTCCATAGCCTTGTAATTTTGAACCCAACCCAGAAGACGAGGAACTGCTGTATCAAGTATTAGAACAAAACTACATTTGATAGAGCAAACTCGCCTTTACATTACATAGAGAGGAAAACCACAAAAACTCCCACCATTAGCCCGACGGCAAAGAGATTCTTACCCATCATGCGTCTACCACAGAGGATATTTTACTTCAACATTGTGGTCGGTACGAGCGGGGAACTGAATCAGCCACCGCTGGGTTTCAAACCTGGGGGCTCTCATGAGAAGGCGAACGCTTTATCGCCCGAGCCACCACTTCTCTAAAATTACTCATTGAAATTTTTTTTATCGATTTAAAAATATAATTTATTTATTTTTTGTTAATTAGCTTTAAATTTGATATAACTTTCTTACTAGAACTCTATACTGCTGGAGATTCCCTTCCTGGCAAATTCTCTTTCACCTTAGAAAGAAATTTAAATTTAAAGTGTAGAAAAAGTGTTTTCGGGTTAACCTAAGCTCAACTATGAAGTTTCAAAAACTGAAAATATTTTTTCACAATATCAAAATGCAAACAAACTATGACAGAGTTACTCATGATTACGCAGTGGGGAAATAATATTTTAAAAACATTTTTTCAGCATTTGAAACTACATGCTTACCTGAATTACCTTTTCTCTAAAATTTAAGTTTTAAAATACCAATGGAATAGAATTCGCTATAAGAAACTTGTCCCCCGGTATAGCGTCCTCTTAAATAAAGTCTGCACTAAGAAAAAAATATGGTAAAAATTTATCTTGCTTCTGGCTCTATGGTAACAACAAAAAATTCTATGGAAAGTAATTTTTGCAATAGTGCTTTGGTAATGAATTTGGTAAAATTAGCAATAAAATATGGTTTTATAATAAGTGATAAAATTCGGTAAAAGTGGTAATTTCATCATGATACCTCAGCGAATGGTATAAAAGCCATTTATTCGGTTAAAGTTACTTTTTAGTTTCGTATTTTTTAATAAATTTGTGGTAATAAGTATAATTTTGGAAAGCGGTATCTCCGGTACACCGTTACCATATGAACGGAATAATTACCAAATGCATGGTTTAAAAACCCTATATTTTGGTTTTATTAACTAAATTTATGTTGTTGTTATTATATATTTTAAAGAATAACATTACTTTACCATGCGATATTTTTACTAGAAATTTTTTTCTCCGTCTATAAATAACATTTTTAGCATATTCAAATGAATTTCATTACTATTTACGTCTTATATTTTTAAACTTAATTTTACACTTTATAAGAAAAAATTGCAAGAAATGAGAGGTTTATTGTAGAAAAAATATTATATAATAAAACATTCAATAACAAACATTGTTTTGCGCTGCATTTTTAAATACTATCTATGCTAATATTTCACGTTTTAAATAAAATGAGTATGAATAAAATTTCATTAAGATATCGAGTGCCCTATACTTAAAAAATTATTACTCATCTATTCTGTAAACTGAGATTCGAAGTCAATGAAAACTAGTGTGATGTATAGAAATTATTTTTATTAGTTGACTTTCTTAATCGAAATATTCCTAGCGATAGTTTATTTAATGTGTACAGTGCGCCAAAAAAAATGGACCACCCTGAATAACTTTTGATCTAATGAACAGATCTTCTCGTTCTAGGACTCATTATTAATGGCTCAAGGCGGTGAACTCAAATATGCTAATTACTTAATGCAGACACTCTATTTTAAGTTACGAAATCAGACACAAACACGTACTCTCAGCGAATAAAACATACTTTTTTTTCAACGGATTCAGATTTCTGACTCCCAAAATCTAGGGGGTAGCCGCAATCTGGGAAATATAGTCCGCATAGTTTGATCAGGAGAAAGATCTGAAGTTTCGACCCCTTGATAATAATTTTACTTTTTGCGTATTTCGAAATATCTCGAACAATTTTTGCAAAATTCGTTTATCCAGAGGTAACTCCATGCAAAAAAATAAATCTTAGTAAATATTCCGTATTTTTTAATTAAATGATAGTCGAAAAATTTTTGAGTAGTAAGGTCCACAATTTTTTGAATCATTTTAAAGTATGAAATTTTGCATGGTAAAATACAATATTTGAGTGAAATTGGTTGAAAAGTTTCTGAGAAATCGAGTTTTAAACATACCACTTTTAGATTCGATTTCTCAAAAACTATTCAACCGATTTCGCTCAAACCTTGTAATTTGTACATAGTTTGTAATGATATTTTGGGGATCAAAAAACCAAATCCGTTGAATAAAAGGTATGTTTATTCCGAGATAGTGCGTTTTTGTGTCTGATTTCGTAACTTAAAATATCGTCTGCAGTAATTAATTAGCATATTTGAAGTCACCCCTAGAACCATTAAGAATGAATCCTAAAACGTGAATATCCGATCATTCGATCAAAAGTTATTCAGGGTGTCCCGTTGTTTGCTTCTTTACTTAAATTTTTCGTTATAAATTAGTTTTCTATTTAATAAATAGATGGTATTATGATCTATTTTCGATCCTACCCCTTGTACTTAACGTAAAAGAATTTATAATGCTTATTGGGATTTTTCAAAAATGTAAACGAAAAGAACTTATTGAGAGGGCTTAAAAAATTTGAATACTGTGTTCAATACATCGTTGTGTTTTTCTGAAACAGTGTTGTTGAATGAATAATTTAATAGAATGTAGCAAAAACCTATAAAAAAAACGCCAAAGATGGCTATTTTATTATTTTATTATTTGTTTATTTATTTATTTTTGCAACGATAGAAATCATCATTTAATGCAAGCTTTACCAATCTTTATAGCCTTATGCTTCCCCAAGCTACATAAGGATGAGCCTCAGTTTTAAATTGTTCAAAATAATGCTTTTTAGTAAAAGGCTCCCAAAATTTTGATGTAAACAATGAAATGTTTTTTCATGCTGTGCTGTTTCAATGTGAACATTCTGAAATTTTGTAATATAGTTTTCTGGAAACAATACTAAGGAACAGTTTAATGTAAAAATACCATCTTTGAAGAAAGATTAAATTATTACACCGAAATCTATAATTTTAGGAACTATTTTTTCTGATTTTGATTATTTGTTATCATGTTAAAATAATTAGAGGTAATAAACTATAAATGAAAATGAGGAATAGTGCTTTTTTTTAACAGAATTACGTAAAATAACTGATGATAAATAATTTCACCTTAATACAATATTTTTATTATAGCATGGACAAATAATTTTAATGTAGGATAAATGAAAATCTTGACAAACTTCTTCATTTCATGTTTTGACATCTCAAAAGAGGATCGAAATATAATTTACATATTATTTCCATAAATGAATAATAAATCTCTAAGAACGACGTATTTCATTTTTCAGAAATATTTATTTATTTACTCTAGAAATATATATGAGTGTGCTGACTTTTAAGAGACTGATAAAGCTAACATCGATAACATTTTATTATAATTTTCATAATCTTTTAATATTCTATCGTTAGTGAAATAATTTGCTTTTAATTTAATTGAGGAATTTAATTTTTTCCGATATTTGGTAGTAAATAATTTATATTAAGAAATTTTATTGCAATGAAAATTATTTGTTTTGTAATATTACAAATTGGAAAGTTTTGACGAAAAGCATATTCTTTGTGTTTTTTTCATATAGTTAATGCAACAAATGTTAATATCTTCATAATAAAATGTAAAATTTCGTACACATTTCGTGAATTAATTTATTTATAATATATAACTTTTTACACAATTCTTTCTGGCATAACAAACATATATTTTTTGTTTTTAATCTTAATACGAGTAGTTTTGACGAAAAGCATATTCTTTGTGTTTTTTCATATAGTTGATGCAACAAATGTTAATATCTTTATAATGAAACGTAAAATTTTGTATACAATTCGTGAATTAATTTATTTATAATATATAACTCTTTACACAATTCTTTCTGGCATAACAAACATATATTTTCTGTTTTTAATCTTAATAGTTTTGACGAAAAGCATATTCTTTGTGTTTTTTCATTTAGTTGATGCAACAAATGTTAATATCTTTATAATGAAACGTAAAATTTTGTATACATTTCGTGAATTAATTTATTTATAATATATAACTCTTTACACAATTCTTTCTGGCATAACAAACATATATTTCCTGTTTCTATTCTTTAATAAGTCCTGATACATGCAAATAGTTCATTAAAAAAATATATGAATTTGGTCCTGAAAAATAAAAATCTTACATTAAAATTGTTATATATTTATGACAATTGAAAGTATTTAAAAAAATGATCCAATAATCAAATTTTCTTACTACAAAGAATCTGCTTCAATTGAGGAACTTAATAACATATACTCTTCGATGTAAAAAGTAAAACTTTATGCATATTAAACATAAAAATAAAAAATAAGGTTACGATTATTTATAATCTGGTTAAAATTCATGAAAGTGGAAGGAAAATTGAATGAATAGTTTTTAATTTATTTTTGAAACGATTTTAGGAAAAAAAAGACTTGTTAAAAAATAATTTAGAAGTTGGTTCACATTTTAAAATTTTTGATTTAAACTTCGACAAAAAAATAAAAAAGCAACGCATCATTTAGCTAACTTTCCGTTAACTTGAAGAATTTAATTGCTTTTTTAAGTTTAATATTGTGTTTTTTCTTAAATACAAAATGAAGCACCACACCCAACCATGACTAATCATTTAACACCGTTTTCAGGGTTCTATCGTTTAACAACTAGATCAGCAAGGTTGCCACGGGTGACTAAAATTACAAAAAAGTGCTAACTATTGAAATTTAAAATTCCATTAAAAGAAATTAAAATTAGCAACTAATTAAAGCATATTTTTCCTGTTTACTACTGAAAGAAAATGCAAAAAAATATTTATACGTGAAGAATATGAATGTAAGTCATAGTTGTTGTTGTCGTTGGAAATTAAGGCAGAAGTGGTGTGATTGTTCTTGTTTTCTAGTGGCGCCATCTATGGCCAAGACTTCTGCCACACCGGTTTATAGGGCTGACCTATTCATACATTCATTCATCCACAGATCGTAATTTTTACCTGAACCAGAAAACGATCAATCTCCAATTCAGTACCCCCAGAGGTATAATTAGCTATTGGAACATAGGGGACTTTGTGACCCGACAGATTTAACGTACACCAGTCACCATTTAATGCACTGGCAGTCTTCTGTCGGCTGGATTCGAACTCGCGTTCTAACTAACGTGAGTCCAGCTCTCTGCCAACCAGGCTATCATGGCTTTGTAAATCATAGTGGTAGATACGATTAAATAATTAAAGAGGTAATAAATAAATAAAATTAATTGAGTTTCTACCACGTTTCACATAAATAGTCGGCTGTGGCATCGCTGGAGCAGGAATGCCTCGTATTTTTTGACCAGGTCACACGCCGTGGACAGCGTGTGAACTAATAGACCGAGAGCACTTACAACCTCAATATATTCACCGTGCTCTTTGCGCATGTATGTCGGTTATTAGAACATGTGCTAGGATCGAACTCACAATTACTGGCTCTCAACGCCTTAACCGTCTGCGGTACTAGAGCACTTGAAACAAAACGAGATTTAACAATCATGCGGCTCAATATTCATTATTCTAACAGATTATGTAATGATTCGATCATTCTATTGTACAATTGATGCAATAATATAAATGAAAATATCAAGTTGTTGATAGAATAAATGTATAAAACTGTAGCCTAAACTGAAGAAAAAAAATTTGTCAGCACAGAACAGGAAATCGTTTTCTTTTTTAAAAAAAGAAAATAGCAGGAAATCATTTTCTTTTCAAAAAAAAACTTGTATATAAACAGAATCCTGTTTTAATTAACAGTTAGCTTCTACGTTTAATAAACATCATCCCTTGATGTCAAAATATATTTTTCAAAGATAAGGGTTCTTTGAAACCTATCGAACAAGATGGAACACAGGAAAAGAAACTCTTTAAGTAAACAAAGATTTTCCTAGGTTTATCTTAGGATGAAGATAAGAGATTACGAAGAAAGTGATAGGTTCTTATCTCAATATGCAAATGCATCACGACCCGGACAACCTTCATAATAAACTCAATGTTTACAAACAAGCTGAGTTTGCTAACTTTCATCTCACTTTTTTTTAAAGTTAAGTACCTTACAAAAATAGCAAAATTAATAAACTGGCGTTATCTCTTTAAAGAAAAGTTCAAAGTTTAAAAAGAAATTGAAAAACTTTTTTTTTAATATTATGCTGGATTTAGAATTTAATCATACTTCTAAAATCCATTTTAGAATAAACTATACTGAGGCTTTTTAAACTTAATTTTATTATGAGTCGAAAAAAGGAGCCAGGTTTTATTAAGAGGGGATGAAATTTTAAGCTAGAAAGCAAAGCATTTTGAAATTTTGTTATAACTATTTAAGATTCTGCCGATATAAAAAAAATAGCTCCAATAATTCAAGTTTAGAGAAAACATTTAAAATGCTTAAAGTTTGAAATTAGCTTTATCAAATTATCTTTTTAATAAATTTCTTTATGAAATTTCTTTATGATTCAAGATTTTAAGAGGATTTCTAACGAAATTTGGTAGAAATTTGAACAATTACTTCCAAATTTTGGATTTTGTCATTTAAAATTATACTATTTAAAGGGTAAAATTTAAGAATAATTTCTTGTTAATTATAAATGTAGTAGTTAAAAATCGAAATAGTTCAAAATAATTTTTAAAAAAAGTATTTTTATGGTATGTTCTTAGAGTAAATAATGGATTAATTCCCCGACATGGAGTGTTTAGAGTTCCCTCCAAATTATTTTGTCAATCCCGTTCGAAAACAGACTGAAAAGTTTAATCAGTTTTCGTCTTAAGAGAAGAGTGGAGGTATTCTTTTCTTCTCTTTTTGTTAAACAATTAATAATAAATAAACAATTTTGAGTAGAAACAAACTTTTTATTTTGAAACAAAATATTTCACCGACAGTATTTTTGTCCCTTTTTCATTAAAATAAAATTCCATACAAAATATATATTTAGAAATTGAGAATTTGATTGATGCATTTTAAGTAGTACAATCAGACAGCAATCAATCAGTAGGAAAGTTTCTTAAACTTGTAAAAATCGAGCATTGCACTTTACCATTAAAACCTTTTTGTCGTATTTTAATTTTTCACAATACTTAAAACATTGATTCGCGTGAAAATTATGAATCGAATGAATGGAAAAATTAACCGTTAACCATCAAACGATAAACCTCTGAAAAGTTGAAGAAATTAAGAGCGGCTCCAAAAACTTCGTAACAAAACAGACCCAATGTATACCTATTTAAGTTTTTTTTTAAATATTTAATTTACGTAAATAGTTCTGAAAAAAAAGATACAATGTAGAAGACAAAAAGTAGAATTAACATTTATGTGATCAAAAATTTCAATAGTTCTTCGAATTAAACCACTGGGCCCATATTATCCAGATTGCGGCTAACTTCCAGTTTTGAGCTTTTATTTCTTTATTTTATAACCGTCGTTGAACAGCCGACCCAATTTTTGGGTTAACGACTACTAATGTTCAATGCCGTAGCCTCGTAATTTTGAACCCAATCCGGAAGACAAGGGAACTCCTGGATCAAGTATTGGGGGAAATTGGCTTTCGTCGAAGACTTTTTGATGGAATTAACCCGCATTTGCTTTTCAAGGAACGGAAAACCACGAAAACCTCCCATGGTTAGTCTGACGGCAAGGGGATTCTAAACCATGATCTGTCTACCACTGAGGATATTTTACGTCAGCACTGAGATCTGTGCAAGCTGAATGCGGATTTTGTATCGACCACCCATCGCTGGAATTCGAACTCGGTCCACCTCATTAGAAGGAGAACGCTCTATCCTCTGAGCCATAGCAGCTCCAGTTTTGAGATTTAAAAAACATTAACCCATTTTTAAGATACAGTTATTCCCAGAAAGTGCGGGATTTGTAATTGGTTAAATCATCTGCACAAATTAATCAGCATATTTAAGGCATTATTGAGCTACGTAGAATTCCAAAAAAAAATTTCCGATTCGATGAAAATCCGAATATTAGCTCAGAGGTTATCGATATATTCTCCGTTTTTTTCTCTTTTCTTTTTTATCACACTGTAAAATACAAAGTGGCATTTCTTAAAAATTTAACACTGTAGAAAATTTTCCCATTTTTCAGGTTTTTGTGAGATTTGGTAATTATCATAAATCTTTTTAAAAAAAATTTTTGTCTGTTTTAAATTCTAATTCGTTTGTATTAATATTTATATTAAGTATTAGTTTTCTTCAATAGTGCGTGTAATCAGTGCCTTTTCGACTGATTATTTATATTTTTAGGTCTTTTCTTTAATCACACTGTAAAAAATTCAAGTAACGATTAAATGTACCGGTACTTTTTTCAGTTAAATATATTTTTACCAGAACAGAAAATCTGATATACAGTAATTTTTGCTGTAATAATTATTGTAAAATCTCGGAATCACGCAGATTAAATAAATTATATTGTAAAAACTACGATATAATATTTTACGGTAAAAAAAGATTCCATGGTAAAATGGATTTTACGAATAATACACCCAGAGAGCCGGTATTTTACAACGTAATTTGATCCAGAATTTTCACACACACGATCAATGTTTATTGAAATCACAACTTAGGTGCATTTTTAAAACTAATTTACGTTTCTTCAAGTTATAGTCAAGTCAAGTCTAATTATAGTATAAATATCAGTTGACGATTAAATAGTCTAAACGACGCATAACTGTAGCAAGAAATTGATTTGATTAGTAATAACGAAAGATATTTGAACATATATTTATTATTATAAATAATCAACCTTTTAATAATAATTATGTTTATCAGTAATTCAAATTGCATAACTTTCATATCTCATTATTAAGAGTTTTAAAATATTCATAAAATTTAACGAAGTTTTGATAAGAATCTCCATATCCAGACTTTTGGTTAGGAATAATTTGCTTTTGTAAAATGAACTGAAAAAGAATTTAAAAGCAGACGTTGTTTTTCTAGACATAATGCATATCCCCTGTTGTTTTAGTTTTTGTGCTGGAACACTGACAAAGCATATCGAAATAGCGTGCCAAATCGTTAGAGCACAAATATTTTAAAGTGTTCTGTCTAGCGTTAAACAATTTTGGTTACAAAACTATTATTACTTATAATTTAAAATGAAAAGTGTAGTTATATGTCTGA